TTATCTTGTTCTTTCTATTATTTATTTAAACTTTTAGAACACAAGCGTGAAATGACTGATGGACTATAGTAGATGAAGGAAATATTGGTGATGATGCTTGCCTAGGTTTGTTTACTGCAATCAGATTGACTATTGTCTAATCAGATTTTTTCAAATTTCCATGTAAAACTAACATCATAGTTTTTCATTTTAGTAAAACCCTTCCTAGATGGAGTTCTTGCAATTCATGCTTCACTTTTTTTTTTCTTTTTTCTTTTTTTATCAATTTTGAAGCTTCCCATAATTAATTTTTAGTGATTTGAGTGTGCAATGTATGAATGTGAGATCTCTGCAACAAGTTTCCAATCCTTGATACTGATGGTTGGCTTTTGTTTTATTTTCCCCTCCCCACTGGATGTATAGATGTGAAAAAAGTTGTGGAAGCATTGAGCACATGTTCAGATGTTGAGAGCTTATGTTACATGAAAATGCAGCACAATTTTGTTCTTTTGATTAGAATTAATGCCATTGCATTTTAAGCATCTAGCACTGGCATCTGATATTTAGGCAAAGAGACTTGTCTCCCTGCTGAGAAAAAAAAAAAAGAGAGAAAAAAAAAAAAACCGAAGCACTTGTGAGGTTTTAATCTTTTTCATTAAAAGGGCTGTTGTTGTGCTAAATTATCTCAGGGCTTGCTTCATGATTTCACATGCTTGTTATAATTTGAAACTGCTCTAATATCATGGACTTTTTATTTATCAAAAGTTGCAAATGAGTATGAAGTGATTAAAAAGCTCAGATGGGGTTTACCTTGAACTTCTAGAAATTTATTTATTTCACTTCTTGGTTTAGGTAAGAGACTGAATCACTGAAGTCCAGCTTTAACAAATCCTGTTGTACTTACTATTAAAGTAAGATGCTGATTAATCTGTCCCGTGATCATTTCTTCTTCCCAATTTATCTCTTTACTATTATACCATATGTTCTCCCTTTGTCAGACGTGAATCCCTAGGCATTGGATTAAGTATCTTCTGAATGATTTTTATCACTTCTCTGTGCATGGTCTTGTCTTCTACTGTTATTTCACTTATTTGTACAACAAATTATCATCTAACCTCTTTTCTTCTCACGCTGTATCATCTTATTAATGGCTTGCTTCTGCTGTTCTGTCCCTTTCTACTTTATCATTTGATTATATATGCTATTGTGTGTTGGTTGGATCTTTGGCAGAGGAGGCTGTTGATGTCCTTTTCCATGTTTTCACTGACTCTCACGTATCACGAGAGCTGCATTATGTTCCAGGTCTTGACTTACCCTTTTCTCAGTGTTAGTGTAGGAACCAATTTGTTGATGCCCTTTTCCATGTTTTCACTGGCTCTAACAAATCCTTGAATCCTTGATACTTACCGTTTCAGAACAATTATCCCCTTCTATCTTATTACTTTAGAGTCCATTTTTATCTCTTCTTTTTGTGGAATATAAATGTGGTCTGTTCTGGGTTCGGCTGAACTGGAAAAAATAATATTTGCATTCTTCCTGGCTTTATGCATTGGTGTGGTTACTTTTGCGTAAAGGATTTTTTTCCATGATTCTTCTGGCATCCAAGTGTTGCAGAAGTAGCAAAGTAGGACGGCAAGTGATCTTAGGGGTCTTTGTTTTAGTTTTTTATAAATGGTTATCAACTTTTAACTCTGATTAAATAAATTAAATATTTTAGATTATAAACAACAATGATTATTAGTTATCAAATACTCAAATATCAATTATCAGTTATCGGTTGTACCTAAACAAGTAGTCTAAATATACTTTCAAGCTGCTCACTCGATCCAAATAGATGAATGAATTGGAGCCTTGTTGGCTAAAGGACCTTTAGTTCAAAGGATTGCCCGTATTTAAAGTAGTTGCACTCTTTGTAGCTATGCATATTTTATGTCAACTAGTTTCTTTGTTTCACATGCTCCCTTCTCTCTCTTGTTTCCCTCCACAACAATACAGCCAAGTTTCACCTTCCAACCCGTAATTATGGAAGTACCATGGTTTAAGGTTATGCTCTCTTTCTTGAAGTTCGAGTATTCACTGATCCTTTAGAGGAATTAGGAACTTGGACTGTCAAAATAAGAAATAGACATATTCCTGATAAAGGGCAGAAATTGAGCACCATAAGACACGTTTTTGCTATGTCTTGTGGTCTCCCTACTTTCCGCTGCGCGGCCACCGCCTCCGCCACCACAATAGTGAGATCTTTGTGATGTAATCCTAAATTTTGTTTGGGTTAATCAAATTTTTGGAATGGTGTTTTTTTTTTTTTTTTTTTTGATACTACCATCTTAGAATCCAATAATCACATTGGATCTCAAGTGATTCGAAATCGAATCGGGACAGATCTCATTTGGGTGAAAACTCTTATAGCGTCTATTTTTCCATTTACAAAACTCGAACTCAATATCTTACTTAAGGGAACCGAATTCCTTCTACTGAAACCAATAAGTCCTTAGAATGGTGTTTTGATTGTAGCATCTGACTGATAAACTGTTACAAAGTGATAAAGGAACCTTAAGCAGCACTCTGTTCTTATTTCATCCAATTAGTCATGTTAAAATGAATTTCTACATTGCACTTTTTCTTGCAGCAGTGGCATTAGCTTATAAACAGCTCTTCCATCTCTTAAGGTGATGGGCTGATCATCAGGTTTTGAAATTTTCTAAACATGAAATTGATTGATTTTGCTTGCAGTGAAAGCAGGAATTCCGGAATTTCTGAGTTGTGTAGGCAGAGGAGTTAAAAACCCAGGCCGCAACGCTTGAAATCAAATTCTTTCTTGTGTTGATTTGTTAAAAATATTAAATTCTTTTATTATTATTCTTAGCATTTGACGTCCTACCTTATAAGCTATTGCAATTCGTGTATGCATTGCATTATAATGCTCATTTTTGTATTATGTTGTAGTATTTCAAGTTGTGTTGATAACTGTTCTAACGTGAAAGGGATTAAGATTTATTTAGAAAATGATTGAAGAATAATTTTTTATAATGTTTTTTAATATAATTTTATGAGTTAATTAAATAATTTATTTATTTAAAATTTATAATATTAAATATATTTATTTATTAAATAATATATAAAAAAATATATTAAAAATTATATAAAAAAATTATTCCTATATTACGTTTAGATTTATTTTCTTTTATTAATGTCAAAGAACGGCAATAAACTCTCGGAAATGATGTCAATTGCAGACTTTCCTCGTATATGAGAATTAACTCTCTAAGTTTAGTTAATAACCTAAATAATTGTTGAATCGGACCTTTAGATTCAATGGTTCTGGTTCGATCTCAAGCCTTAAGTGTTTGGGTAAGATGGTCGAAGTTTCGAGCTCTACCATTATTGTGAACTCCACCAAAAGCGACTTGATAGCCGCGCGCTTCATTTAAGGCGGTGGAATGTTCACCCGGTCTGGGGATCGAATCCTCAGTTGCTAACAACTAATTCATACTAATTTCCTAACCATTATCCCTATCAAAAAAAAAAAAAAAACCTAAATAACTTAATAATTATCTTTTTTTTGTTGAAAATAAGAAGTCACGAGTTTAAATTGTATAACATGCATGTGTTATAGAATAAGAGATAAGAAATGATTGATTCTCATTGTATAACTAAAATAAAATAAAAATAATAAAAAAAAGGCAAACTCTCTGTAATTGCACCAAACCAGATGTCCTTTCTTAGTCCGCGTCTGCACTCCAGATTGACCTGCAAAGCCTCGAGATGGATCTCGGGGTAGACACTCCGATGCCTAAGTCAGCAATAATCGGGGCTACCTTTAGAGCGGAGAAAAAAGGAGCTTAGGGTTGGTTTAAATCACCTTTTTTGACGTGGCCTCTAGGGGGTATTTATAGGCTCTAGTGAGGAACCCACGTGGCATGCCAAGCAAGATAGTCGGAGCCTAATGTGTATCCAAACAATTATTTCGGGATCGAGAATTTGAGAGATATTCAGATGTAAGGACGTCCATCATAGCTGATGTGCAGCTCATTATAAAGAATCAGGTGCGAGCATGCTTACTGTTGTTGTCATGCAGCAATTCGGGCGGGAATCTTTGGATTTATCCTTCACTTCAGTCATAAAAGAATTACTATCGTACGTCCGAGGCTGGGCACCTCGGACCTGCCCTTACACTATTCCCCCCCAAAGTCATTCACTTGTGAATGATTTTGTTGGAGATAATGGGAGTAGTGCATAAATGGAAAGGACAGGAGATAAACATATGAAAGATGAGTTACAGAAGTGAAAATAAAGATAAGAATAAAAATCTGTAACTCACATGTATGGATGACCGTAGTCAACAGTTAAGTATGAGCCATAATAGAAAGTAATGACCAAAGTCATGGTGGTTGCGGCCATAACAAAAAGTAATGACCGGGGTCATGGTGGCCGGAGCCATAATAAAAAGTAATGACCGGAGTCATAGTGGCCGGAGCCAAAGTGAAACGTGTGACACTGGGTCACTATAGTCGGAGCAGAAGCAAAACGTCTGACCGGGTCATTATGGCTGTAGCCGAAGAGATAAGCGTGACCGGAGCCATCAGGTTGGCTGCCAAAGTGAAACACTTGCAAAATTTAAAATGTATAAAAGTGAACAAGAGTGTTGAAATGGGCTTAAGTGGGCCCGTCTGAGAAGCCTTACAAAGAGGCAGCACGTGACGTGACAGCTGTCCCCTGAATGACGTGCGTAATAAATACCACTGTAAAAAGATAACTGCAACAGTCCAACGGATAGATTTAAAAAAACGAACCGTCAAGTTCGAAACGACGCCGTTTAGGGTTAACCGTCGAATTCGAAACGGTGTCTTTGCAGCCGTTAGATGGAGTTAATCGCAGCCGTTAGATGGAGTTAATCACAGCCGTTGAGGCGTATTTTGCCTTTGGTATAAACGGCTAAACTTCTGTAAAAAGAGGTTTTTACTTTCACGATTTTGCTTCTAAATTCTTGCTAAATCTCTGTGGTTTCGTGCGGTCTGTGCTTTGTGTGAGACTTCAACAACAATTTCCCAAGACCAAAATCAGGTAAAATTTATGAATTTTCGATTTTGATTTTGTCGAAGTGCTATTCTCCTTTCTCCCTTTCTGTTTTTGATTTTGGGTTTTTTTTAAGGAAATTAGGGTTGGGAGTAAGAATGTTATTGAGTGTGTGAGAATTTTTTAAGGGTCCTGACTCCGTTCCCCCTCCTACTTTATGCAGAAATTGAGGAGATGTCTTTAGAAGGGACAATGAGTGTAGTAGGGAGTGAGGTGATGCCCCTGGAGTATGGTGGCATGGACTCGAAGAGCAGTCCATCTCCATCTAGTTCGAAGAGGACGGTGGAGGAGAGAAGGGAGCGAAGGGTAGTAGAAGAGGAGGAAGATGAAATTCCTTCCAATGTTATAGAGGTTGAGGGTAACGAAGATGGGTGCTATGACCAAGATTTAGACATAGTATCCGAGGTGAGGGGGTATGTGAGTGAATTGGGTAGTAGGAGTAGCCTTAGGGATCTGGTAGGGAACTGTAACCTTCCTCACCATGTCCTAATTAGGCCTGTCGGGGTGAATGAGAGAGCATGCTCAGCACCCCGAGACCACTAGATGCCCATGTATGTCCATTATTTGGTGGCAGGGCTTAGGTTTCCCATTCCAGAATTACTGGTTGGGTTATTATTAGATTATAGTATAGGAATAACCCACTTAACCCCAAATGCCATAAGGGTAATAATAGGCTTTATTGTATACTGCCGAGTTCGGGGGGTTGGGGTCCCTACCGTAAATATGTTTAAACATTTTTTTATAATAAAGGGTGGGGGGAAGGGTGAGAAGGAGTGGTACTACTTCGGCCCTCGGTCGTCCAGCAAAGAGAATAAGGGTTTATTCACTATTGGACCGTCATCCATCAAAGGGTGGAAAGAAAAATTCTTCTTTGTGGATGACACCGAGTGGAGTATGGGGGATGCCAAAGTAGAACAATTGTCTGCTTGGAAAGCTAAGAAGACCAAGCAGAACAATTATAAGTTGAATGAGGATGAAGTGGAGGAGGTTGAGAAGCTGGTGAGGGAAGAAGGAGATTTAGTGGATATCATGTACCTCACCAACGCGGAGGCAATAAAGGCTGCCAAGCTTTATGGGCCGAGCTCATTGAGTGAAGGTTTGTTTAGTTGTGCTTTTTACAACTTACTTGAATTTCCAGTTATTGTGTTTTAAACTTGTTTTTGTTCTGCAGCTGAGATGGACGAATTTCTAAATGCTGCTGGAGGGTTGGCCATCCCCAAGAAGCCTAGGAAGAAGTCAAAGACTTCGAATGTGGCAGACAAGGAAGTAGCAGAGAAAGAGCGCCTGCCTAGCACCTCTGCTCGAGCACTGGAGATGCAGTAGGGGGCAAAGCCTGTGAGGGGGGGTAGTGAGGAGGTGAGCGAGGAGGTGGCACCACTCCAAAGGAAGAAGAGGAAGGTGGCAGAACCAGAGGTTAGGAGGGATGAGGTGGTTGAGTTTGTGTCTCGGCCTTCACCGCCTGAAATTGATCCTTAACTCAGGCAGAGGGAGGAGGCCGGGGTGCGAGGTCCTAGCAAAGGCAAGGAGCTCATCCCTCCACCTTCGTTCTAGAAGAGTTTGTTCGAGGCAACGAACACTACTGAAGCGAAGCGATTCCTCAACTCAACGCTTCCTGAGGTGGATAAGAGGCAGGCGAGGGAAGAAGCGGTGAGCCACCTGGGTGCCGGTGTTATAAGGCACGCCTTGGAGGTATGTAAAGAAGTTGCAATTTATTCATGTTTTACTTTTGATTTTATGACTTCTGCATTTGAGGTTTGACTTCTATTTGCATTGCAGAGTGCGAGCTGGGTTAACGCTCTAGCGCATGAGTACGCGAAGAGCATGAGAGATTGTGCCAGCTGGCAGAGGCAATGTGAGGCCCTACTAGAAGAGAAAGAGGAGCTGCAAAAAAAGAATAAGGATATGCAGAGGAAGCTAGATGAGGTTGTGCCAACAGTGATCGAGCTCCAAAGCGATAGAGACACCTTGAGCACAAGACTTATCTTCGAAGAACGTAAAAGGAAGATTTGTGAAGACAAGCTTGATGCGCAAGACAAGTATATCGAGAAGATGAACCAAGGGATGGTGGAATTGAAAAAGAATGTGGAACTGTTGGTTCACAACGGGATGGAGGAGCACATTGGCAACTTCTTCAACTCCAGCACTTTTAAGAACATCGTCAACCTCTACCAGCTACCGACCGCCATTTTGGCCTTCACTGACTATAGAAAGAAGGTGAAGGCTCAGTACCCAGAGGTGGACGTCACAACGATCATTTTTGGTGAACAAGAAGAAGGAGTGGAGGAGGATGGTGAAAGCCTCTCTACTGACTTCCGGCCTCTAATCAAGTTAAGGTGGGAGTGTGATGCAGAGGGGTGCACTATCTTTCCTCCAGACTTCGATGCCGAGTTGGTGGCCATAGAGGAAGAGGAAGAAGTGCTAGATGCTGGAGAGGAGAACCAAGCAAGCCCGGCCGAAGTCCAACCTCCTAAGGTTCATCCAGTCTCCTCTGATGAAGTGCAGTAGCTAGTTCTTCCTGAAGCAGAAGCGCTGCCTCTACCTGTTGGAGATGAGCCGCCTCAACCACCTCTTCCTACTGAGGAGCAGCTTCCTCCCTCAGCAGATTAGCTTAAGAGTTTTTGTTTTATTTTTGTTAGTTGTGTTTGTAATAAACAACAATTTTGTAATTGATTTTTATTAATTTATAAAATTTTTGAAGTTATTTGTGACTTGCATATTTAGATGTTTGTTTGTTGTTTCTGTTTCAAGTAAATCACTTCGGATAAACTAAAGTAACTTTAATTAACAGAAGGAACTGGCCTCGGACACAATGAAATGAACAACAAGGGAATTGACTTTAGATGTACATGAGGCAGATCTCAATTATACAAATGAGAAAAGAGAAAGTAAATCACTTCAAAAGTAAAATGTAACTGATTAATAAAATCGTAACCCAAAAAATGAAATGACTGAATAAGTCACAATGAACTAACTTCAGAAATAAGTGAAATCCACTTCCAACGTATAGAAGGGTAGAAAAAACTGAATCACTTCAAATGTGAAGTGAAATTCATAAATGAGATAAATGAATTGAGCTCGTATATACATTGAGCAGAAAGAGAGAATAATGACGATTATAAAAATAAAACAAAGTTCTCTGGAAAGAAGTGTATTAAAGGTAAAATTTCTTCAAGTTATTGACATTCCAAACTCTAGGAACTCTTTTGCCTTCAGTGTCCCGTAGGATATAAACACCTGGGTGAGACACTTTGGCGACAATAGGGGCCTTCCCAGTTTGGTGCTAACTTTCCAAATCAAGTTTCGAACCCCGTTAGACCAGCTTTCCTGAGAAGAAGGTCTCCTACTTTGAATGTTCAGGATCGAACTCGTTTGTTGTAGAAGTTGGCTATTTTCTGCTTGTATACAAGAGTTCGAAGCTGTGCTTCTTCTTTGACTTCATCAAGTAGATCAAGGTTCTCCCAAAGCAGTTGTCAATTTCATCCTTCATCGAAATGGGTGACCCTGAAGCTTGGGACTCCTATCTCGATAGAAATGATTGCTTCGGCACCAAAGGCCAGGTGGTAGGGTGTTTCACCTATTTCAGTTAATTAAAAGTTTAGAATGTGCTTTACGTGTTATGCGCATTTGATCTAAGGTAAAGCCGTAGAAAAAGAAGTAAAATAATATGAAAGTTAATCAAGTAAACCAGGTTTGGAGTAATACCTGTGGCAGTTTGGCTCGTGGTTCTATATGCCCAGAGGACGTTGTTGAGCTCGTCTGCCCACCTGGCCTTATGCAGCTCTAACCTTGGTTTTATCCCCTCGAGTATAACTTTGTTGACAGATTCTACCATCCCATTAGATTTTGAGTGGTACACCGAGGTGAACTGCAGTTTGATTCCATAGCTGGAGCAGAAATCTCTGAATGAGGAGCAATTGAACTGAGTTCCATTATCAACAACAATTTGGTTCGGGATCCCATATCTGCAAATGATTGAGCTAAAAACAAAGTATTCAACCTTCTTAGAGGTAAGACTGGATAATGGCCGAACTTCAACCCATTTTGTAAAATACTCCACACCAACAATCAGATGGGTTACACCTCATACCCCCTTTATAAATGGACCTAAAAGGTCAAGCCCCCATTGAGCTAATGGCCACGGTGTGAGCAGAGTAGTGAGGCAGAACTGACATTTCTGACACCTCTGTACAAACTGAGTGGCATCTTTAGACATGTTGGGCCAGTAATATCCTTGTTTAAGGACTTTATGAGCCAAAGTTCGAGCACCAATGTGACTTCCGCAGACACCTTCATGCACTTTCCGAAGTGCATATTCAGCCTCGTAAGGGTTCAGGCAGCGGAGTAGAGGGAGTGAGAAAGATCTCTTGTAAAGGACGTCATTAACAAGGGTATACCGAGATGCTTTCTTCCTCAACCTCATCTCTTCTTGTTTATCCGTAGGCACTATTCCGTCTCGCATAAAGGAGACAATTGGATCTGTCCAGCTCAATGTGCTAGGATTTGTGTTGATCTCCATCATTTTTGGCTTAAAGAAGCTAGGCTCATCCAGAATTTCAACAAAAACCGATCTGGAGCTTTGGTTGCCATCAGAAGCAAATTTAGAGAGGGAATCTGCTTGCTCATTTTAGCTCGGGGTATTTTGCTCAAATGGAATTTCTGGAATTTGGATTTCAGCTCGGCCACCAGAGTTGCATACTTCATCATAACAGGATCAACCACTTCACAAACTGAGTTGACCTGATTGACTACTAGTTGCGAATCACAGTATATTTGTATCATTGCAACCTTCAGTTCTATCGCCAGCTGTAAGCCGAGTAGTAGAGTCTCATACTCAGCCATATTGTTGGTGGCATCAAAATTATATTTCAGAGCATGTTCGCTTCGGTACCCATCTGGGCCAAGTAAGATTGCACCAACGCCATAACCTTTGTTACTTGATGCTCCATCAACATATAAAATACAACTGTCCACTTCGGACTGGGAACCAGAGTGAGCCGAGGTGCATTCTACTATGAAATCTGCAAGAGCCTAAGCTCGAATTGTTAACCTCTGCTGAAATGTGATCTCAAATTCTCCCAGTTCAACTACCCACTTGATCAATCTTTTGGAACATTCTGGCTTCTGCAAAATTTGTCTGAGGGGCTAGTCCATGAGGACTATAATTGGGTGTGATTGGAAATACGGTCTCAGTTTTCTGGCCGAAGTGACAATCGCTAAGGCTGCTTTCTCAACAATAGAATATCTTATTTCAGCTCCATGTAACATGCTACTGGTATAGTAAACTGGCTTCTGTTGCTTCCCCTATTCTCTCACTAGCACAGAACTGATAGCTTCATCTGATATGCTGAGGTACAAGTAAAGGATTTCTCCATCATCAGCTTTGTTAGCAAAGGAGGTGAGTTAAGATAAGACTTCAGCTCGTCAAATGCAGCTTGGCATTCTGAATTCCATTCAAACTTCTTTTGTTTTCCAGATTCATCCTTTTTGGTTGCCAATCTCATGATCTTGAAGAACGGCAAGCATTTATCTATGAATTTTGAGATGAATCTATGAAGAGCTGCCACTCTCCCTGTCAACCGTTGTACATCTTTTACTGACTTCGGTGGTTCCATCTCAGCTACTGCTTTGATCTTCTCGGGGTTGACCTCAATCCCCCTTCTAGACACCATGAAGCCTAGAAATTTTCCCGACTCCACACCAAAGATACACTTTGTTGGATTTAACCTCATTCTGTTCTTTTGAGATTGTTGAATGTTTCCCCGATGTCAGTTAAGTGATCTTCAGCTTTCAAACTCTTCACCACTATATCATCAACATAAACTTCCAGATTCTGGCCTATTTGAGCTCGGAATATGATGGTAACCATCTTCTGGTAAGTGGCACTTGCGTTCTTCAAGCCAAAGGGCATCATCACATAGCAATAGATCTCATCGCCGGCATAGAACGAGGTTTTGTCTTCATCCTCAAGAGCCATTGGAACTTGGTGGTAGCTAGAGTATGCATCCAAGAGACTTAATCTCTCGTTTCCAGAAGCCGCCTCTACCAGCTTGTCAATGTTTGGCATTGGGTAACAGTCTTTTGGACATGCCTGGTTGAGGTTAGTGTAATCGATGCACATCCGCCATTTACCATTTGCTTTTTTCACCAACATAGGATTGGCGACCCGTTCACAGTAATCGACCCGTCTAATGAAACCAGCTTGTAAGAGTTTTTCAAC